CAGATTGGATGGTATCCATCCACACTGGGCAAGGGTGCAATCTGCTTTACTGAGTCCACAGATTCAAATGCTATAAACTCATCCAGAAACACCCTCACAGACGCATGCAGAGATACTTAACCTGGGCATCCATAGCCAGTCAAATTGACACATGAAGTTAACTATAAACTAGGTGGTTAGAATAAGATTTTACTCTGCATCTAGATATTTTTACCATTATTTGACACACAACAAGGATCTTTTTAAAAAATTATTTGACTAAATCAAAAAGTGAGTGGATATGTTTAAAAGCAAAGCAATAAACTTCAAAGTGGCTCAGCTTTCTTATCTATAAAACGGGGTTAAGAGTACTACTACTTCACAGGAAAGCTTTTGTAGGATTAGTGATGCGTTATGTGTAAAATGCTTAGAATATAGTGCCTACTCCATTATAAGTAGCATACAAATATTTGTTTTGTTCTATTTTGTTTTCTTGGTATACCAAAAGATAATGAGAAAGATTAGGAAAAAAAATGTCTGAACAATTTATACCAACCTGAGTCTAGCAGAATCTGTATAACCTGCTGCTCCTTCTTATTCTCATGTTTCCAGGGGCAACTGACAAGGTTTTTGTTTTTGTTTTTGTTTTTGTTTTTGTTTTTGTTTTTTGAAAAGTAACTTAAGTTCAAAGCTGGTTCATACTTTCATTCCCCTGAGATTCCCCCATCACAATGTCTTCACCAATCACATAATATATCTTCAAGAATTTCCTAGCTCCTGGGAACCAGCAGTTAGCGTAATGGCTATGTCGCTGGACTCCCACGTAGTTGACCGCAGTTCGCGTCCTGGACCCGGTGACTTAAAACTCACACCGGGCGCATGTGCACGCGTGCCCACGATCCCGAGAGGAGAATGGAGGAGAAGGGATTGCGGCGTGACCATCCCCTCTTGGGGGGTGATTTCTCACTTTCTGTCTCTATGTCTCTGTCTGTCTGGCGAGTGCACGCGCCTATAGCAAAAACCTCTCAAAAAAAAAAAGAAGAATGTCCTAGCTCCTCATATTTTATGTCCAACCCAACAGCAAGTCTTCTCAATTCTATCTTCAAAATATACATGGTCTTAAATTCATTCCCGGGGCCAGCAGGTGGTATAATGATTAAGGCACTGGACTCCCACATGACTGACTGCATTTCGCATTCTAGACCCAGCAGCTTGAAAATGCCAGGCATGTGGGTGTGGGTGTGTGTGTGCCTAAAGTCCTAAGAGGTGAATGGATAAGGGATTGTAGTGTGGCCACCACCCCTGAGAGGTGATTTCTCACATTCCTTCTCTCTGGTGAGTGCACCTGCCCTATGGAAAAACCTTTAAAAAGAGAGAGAGAGAAGGCCATTCTCCTCATCCCCACAGGGTCTAGCCAACCGCTAGTTCTCATCAATGCTTCCTTTCTTAGACTCCACATTCTATTCTACAATGAGTGGCCAGGGTGAACCTTTTAAAAACTGATACAAATCATGCCACTTCCCTACTTGAAACTTTGCAATGAATCCCCTACAAAGCATTTAAACTTCTCTCTCTACAACTTCATCTCCCATGTACATGACCTGGATTATTCTGCTCCAACCTTGATCGTCTTTTGATTACTGCTACAGTTTACCAGCTTTGTTTTGACCTCAGGACCTTTGCACTTGTCTTTATTCTTCCTAGAATGCTCTTTGCATAGCTTATTCTCTTACTTCAGCTAAGCCTCTAGTCAAATGTCTCTTCAGAGAGACCTTGCTGAGAAACCTGTCAACGGAGCACTTCAAATCTCAACATCACTTTCTTAAAAGAGAACCTCTGTGTGACACCATATTTAGTGTTTGTGTGGGTTTGTTGTTGTTGTTTTTGTCTTCCTCCCTCACTAGACTGTGAGCTCCATGAGAGCAGGGAGATTGCTTTGTTCTTTGATAGGCACTTTCTACTATACTCAGATGGTCTCTGGTACATAATAGATACTCAATATTTTTTGAATCAATGAATGAACAAGCAGAGTTATGAGTTGATTGATTAATCCAGGAGTCATAGATGAGGCTAGATATATTTACTAATGTATTATATAGCAGCACTTTTTTTTGCCTTTTGTTTCAACTGCCAGAGGGTGTGTGTATTCACCCAAGAGACAGAGAGAAAGGGAGAAGAAAAAAGCATCCTCCGTAGGACATGGAAACACAATTCCTCTTCCCCTATTTCTTCATCCTGTTGAGATACACATGTGTCCAATTTGTCTCTTGAGTCATAGAGAAAGAGACTTGAATCATGGTCAGTCATGTAGGATCCATCTCCCTTCACTACTAAGTT